AAAAAGTTCTTTTGGATAACATTGCCCCAACCGACTTTTGCTCTCATGAAAATGCCTATAAATAGTTCTTTAGCTCCCACCAAACCTAACATCTCTTATTCATTCCCTATCATTTCATTTGCCCCCTTTTTTTAAGTTCAAGAAAGATTTCATTTTTATCTTCAGGGAGAGAAACCCACCAAAAAAAATACAAAGAAAAAAGAGCAAAAAGGGAAAGAGAAAAATGTTGGGTGTGTTCAAGAATGGAGTAATTAACCCACCAAAGGAGCTGCACAGCCCAGCTTCAACAGCAGCTTATGGCAAATCCAAATCTCCAGAAGAAACTCTCAAGGAATTTTTAGCTTCAAATTCCAACAATGGCTTCTCTTTGGGATTTGTGGACAGGGCAATCTTGGCCTATGTTCCTCCTCAGTCCTCTGTCAATGTCAAGCCCAACCAAAGGTATCTTTTTTTTAAGAAAAAAAAAAAAGGGTTGATGAGATATATAGTGAATGTTGATTTCTGTAGTTAAAATGTACTTTCTTGATTAAGTAATGTGGATAATGGATGTTGATTGATGTATGATTTGGTTGATTGATATGTGATTTTTTTAGGTTGATTAGTTGATTTATATAGCTAATATGCTCTATTGATGTTGATGAGATATATAGTGAATGGTGATTTTCTGTAGCTAATCTGTGCTTTTCTTGATTAATTAATGTGGATAATGAATGTTGATTTTTTAAAAAAAAAAACAGATTAGGGATCTGTAAATGATTTTGGTGTCTGATTTGGTTGATTGATGTGTGAATTTTCTAGGTTGATTAGTCGATTTATCTAGCTAATGTGCTCTCTTGATTAATGTTGATAAATTTTGAAAATAGATTTGGGATCTGTTAATGATTTTGGTGTCTAATTTTGTTTGATTTGATATTTGAATATGAGGATGATTAATTTGTGGGCAGATTGTTCTGTGGTGTGGATGATGTGTACTGCATTTTCATGGGGAGTTTGAACAACTTGCCCAACCTCAACAAGCAGTATGGGCTGTCAAAGGGAGGTAATGAGGCACTTTTCGTGATCGAGGCCTACCGGACTCTCCGCGACAGGAGCCCAATGCCGGCCCATCGGGTCCTCAAAGAGCTCGAGGGCAGTTTTGGGTTTGTGATCTATGATCACAAGTATGGGATTGTGTTTGCTGCCCTTGTAAGTGCATTTGTTGAATCATAACAAAGAATGGATCTTTATTTCTTATGATTGTATATTTATATATCTGGTGTTCCATTATGTTATGTAGTAGGTTTGGATTATTATGTCAAGGTAATTGCAAATCAATTCCTTTATATGATTACGAAAATAGCGTACATTTTCGGTTAATGCTGATATGATTTTTTATTATTTCAGACCTTCGAGTAGATTTTTCACATCCAAAAAGTGAAATTTTGAATTTTGGCGATTAATTTTCATGCAGGGTTCGGATAAGGCAATTAATCTGTTCTGGGGTGTGGCGAGCGATGGCTCTGTAATGATTTCAGACGACGTGTATCTAATCAAAGCAAGCTGCGTCAAATCTTTTGCGCCATTCCCAAACGGTACATTTAAATCTCTTTTCTTGTTCGTAGCAAAACGGGTGATCAAATTATGTATACAAAAATTGAGTAAGATTTGGATTTTTCTATTCATAATCGGGGGCCCTTTTTTTGGCGATTGATAGGGTGCATGTACCATAGTGATAGAGGGTTGATGAGCTTTGAGCACCCGATGCATAAGATGAAAGCCATGCCGAGAATCGATAGTGAGGGGGCAATGTGTGGATCATATTTTGCGGTGGATGCTTATTCGAAGGTTAATAGCATGCCGCGTGTTGGGAGTGCCGCCAACTGGGCTACCTGGGAATGATCGTGCGCTTTACCTCCGACTGACTTGCCGAGAAGAACGATAATTTATTTTCCTTTTTTTCTTCCCCCTATTTTAGGATGTGTTAATAATTTCATGATGTGTTTCTATTCAATGTTTAAGTTGATGTTCTTTTTTCTTTTTTCTTTTTTTTTTCCCCCTCTTATCAACCTCAGCATGTAAATCTGATAATGAGGGGGTGTTTGACAGTTGACTTTGGGGAAAATTTACTAAGGTAGTTATAAGGTGACTGTTAGTCTGTTTAGAAGAGATAAATGTCACTGTAATATGATTGTCAATGGCAACTGATCTTTTACCGTAGCAATTTTATGTTAATAATCAACACAGCTCTACAGTCTTGGTCGCAGAAAAAAGCTCTGACTATATTGTTATGATTTAAATCCTCTAAATAGGAAGCGATATTATCAACTTAAGCAAACTCCAGTAGCAGGTGATTACAAAAGTTTCAGGTAATGTACATACTGTGATGCATCATTCATGAATACAATTTGCACAGGTTTGGGTTAAGATATGTCGGCATAATCTGGATGAAGTACGGCAAAAAAAAAAAAAAAAAAATGCTCGTATTTTACACAACTCGAACCCAAGTTCCTCCACACATTGGACATCCGTAGGCCCACCGGCTGATCCACCAAATTTCTTTCTCATTTTGATTAGCAGAAGTGGTAGCACCAGGCGAAGCAAAAGCACAAGTCTGCCGCAAGCATCTTATGCACTGCACAAGCGAATATTCGAAAATAAGCAAGTGAAGCTTATCGATTATCCAAAACTAACTTACAAATGATTTTTACATTTTAACTTTCCAAGATTGTTGAACTGCATAATATATGATTTTCAAATCACTCACAATTAAATACAATATTAGTGGTGTTTAAATCATCAACTATTAGAGAAGTTTTTGACTTTTTTGCTAGAATAAATCAAAGAGATATACTGCTGCAGCTTTTCGTAATGCATATGATTCGAGTTTAGATATATATATTTTCAATATCAAGGAGAACGCTCCAAATAATTGCATATTATTATTACCTTGTACCACACTCCTTCAAGACCTGCTTTCCACACGGCTGTTACAACATCTCTTCGGGATCCCATGATACCATAATATGCTCCTAGGCCCACCGAAGTGTTCAGTCCAAAAGCTGCATCTCGTTCGGACATCCGGCGCTTTCTTGGCCACAACGTGTGAGTTCCACCGTAAGCAACGCCATTTTCATTTGAACCCGGGTTGAGCAGATCCATTGAGCTACCGTATTTGGAATGATCATCTGAAAGACTCGTCTCGTCTGGTTCCGACCAGGGCCCACCAAACATATTTCTCTTGTGCCACTCTTCGGCTGGAGGATGGAGTTCCAACTCGCGGAGAAGCAGACCAGCTGCATCTGCACCTCTAGGCCGGGGCATATTCTGCAGGAAAAGAAAAATGGAAATAAATAAAATACCCAAAAAAAAAAATACACTTTGCCTACCTAATTATTCGTAATTTTAAACTTCGCCTAAATAACATTTTTTTTTACACTTAACCAGTATGAATTGTGAATACTTAGGTAGGCAAAGTGTAATTTTTCCCAAATAATAAAAGGAAGCTATTTTCATTTAACAATGTACATTTTTAAGGTACAAACTTTTATCACGTGAGGCTGCTCCAAAACGATTGGCGATCAATGGTAGAAGATATTACAACTTGGAATAGCTACATATGATAAGACAAAATACCTGCATATGAGGGCCAAGTGAAGCTTCTACAACCTCGGGCAGAACAGTATAGTTCCCATCAATATAATGAAGGCGGACCTGTATGTTGTTGCTCCCAACCTGGGAAACAGGCAATGGATGACCCAAAGCAGATGTCCTCCGACAAAGGTCCATTAGTATCAGAAAAAGGACCTTCACCTGCAAGGATATGCTAGCATCATACCATCTATTCTCGGCTCAGATAAACTAGAATGATGAGGTAAGGGGAAAAAAAAGTGTTACGTGTGAAGTTTGAACTTCGACTGTAACGGGCTGAGCCGTTGTCAAATTTTTCTCTTCACAAGCATATATTCATTTTAAACAATCTACTAATTATTAAATTTTGTTTTTCACAGAGAAAAGGTACGAAAAAAAGCTAAAATTGATTTGGTAAACGATTTACCTCCTCAAATGTATAACCTTGACCAGCATTTCCCGAACCTAATCTTGATCGGCTAGTTGGACCTTCTTCGGGCCCCTTTGCACCATTCACAACCAGTCCAGACCTCGAGGCTTGTGTTTCTTCTGATCTCATCATAGTAGATGCTGGCTTTCCAGTGGCTGAGTTGTTTTCTTCAGCTTTGCCCGGCATACCAAGCTGAGGCTTTTGACTTGAAGAATCGGCATTTCTCTGAGCAGCACCAATAAAACGAGGTAGCTGAGTTCTTCGGAAGAAAAAACAAAATAACAGGAGCTGGCATAAACGGTGAAGGAAATGGCAGTCTCCAATAAGACGAACAGCTGGAGTTCCTGGAAAGGTTCCTGTGTTTATACTAATGGGCATGAAGTTCGAGGGGCCACTCATTGTGTTTGGAGCTGAATTTGGAACGCTATCACTTGTACTACTAATCTTGGCAATAGCTCCTTGTACCCAGGCCTGCATCTGAGTACTGCCTGTGGAGCTGGTGCTTCCACCTTGGGCTGCTGAAGGGAATAGAGAGATTTTCAATAAAGTTGGCATTGTACATTAGATAAAATGTCGAAACACACAGCGAACCAACCTTGAGTTGTGACGGGTGTTGAGGTACTCTGGGTGGGGCTTGTCACCAAATTACGGCTCCCACCAGTGCCAGCTGTCGCAGCATGACTCGCTAATGTACGACAAAAGCTAGCATAACGACGCAAACGTGTAATGAAATGTGATGCTAAGTCAAGGACGGCATCAACATAGGCCTGCATCATCATATACCGAGTCAAGAGGTGGGACATTACCAGCAAAGAAGAAATATAACAAGAATATTTGGTTATACATGTAAAAGATTCAAAAAAAAAAAAAAAAAAAAAAAAAAAAAAAAAACCTGGATGCTAAGAACGAGTGCTGGTTCTACAGCCATTGCTTCAGGGTCGATGCCAGATAATGTCTCTCCAGATGCTTGCCAGGGTTCTTGAACCAACGCTGAAGGATTTATTAAAGCTGACTCAATTCCTTTACCAAGCATGTCTAGCAATAACCTGGCTTGCATGTCAAGGACCATCGCCCTAACCTCTTGGGCAGTAGTACCTTCTAGCAGCCTACACTTTATTCTGTCCAAACTCTGTAATGACCACAGGAATATATCAATATTTTGAGAAACACCGTGTCTATGTGGACTGGTGGAGGCGAGTACGGAATGGACAATACGAATAAACCAACTTACAGGTCCATACTGCTGTCTGTGCTGAGTGGAGGGGAGAGAGTGGAAATCGGCATCCAATACAGCAATAACACTATTCAGCGAAACTGGAATACAAAAATTATGGTATCAGCAAGCTAAAAATAACAGGGTACAAGGATATATTCTTAAAATAACATATGTTGCTGATATAGTTTTAGCACCTAAAGCATTTATTTATACCAAGATTAACACAGACAACTGAACTCAAACGTCATGCACAAAACCAAGGCACATAGCTCTTTTCCACAACTCAAGGAAAACTTGAGCAACTTACCAATTCCATCCTCCGCAGCACTCTGTGTACAACCAACAGCATCCCACCAATCAACTCCCACCAAAAGGCTCCACCAAAATCTGCCAAGACACAAATCACATTCTGCAGGTAAGAGGCATTATAAAATGAATCGCAAAACCAGTTGAAATGCATGATACTCATATATATTCATACGATTTATAGTCTAACTCCAGCCGTAAGCTTCTGTATATTTTTTGCTGGTGTACCTTTCAGCAATAGCCCTCTCCCATGTTGCAGAGTTAGCTTTTGCTTCACTACTAGGGACAGGAGGAAGAACCCTTATGATTTTTAATATAGTGCAATCCTTGCTAGTTTCATGCCAAACAGAAGCTGAACAGCAGCTAGTAGAAGAGAAAGCAGGAGCAGCAATCGCAGCACCAACATTTATCTGGTAGGTATCAACAGCTGTGAAGTCTACACCGGCGAAAACATGAACCTCTCCTCCTAGAAAGGAAACGGCAATCTCACCTCCATGAGCAGAGTACACAATCCGAGCAAGAGTTCTAACATCACTAGGCAGATCGAATGGATCACAAATGACCCCCCTTGAAACCTCAACACCGGATTCATGAGTATTTTTTCCTTCACAGATTGGTGGAATGGCCCCTGCTCCTTCACGACATTTAAACTCGCAAGGAATGCACTTAATCACTTTACTCACCCAAACTGTTTGCTTAGGTGGCTGTCCCCCAAAATTAGAACTCGGGTTGCCAAATATCTGGTGGATCACGACATTCTCAACTGATGATTCCCAACGTTGAACTCTCCAACCAGTCACTGAAGGGCCCTCATCAGGATCATAAGGGGACATGTACTGACCTGCACAGAGTGAATTCAGTGCTCTAAATAAACACCCAAGGTATTCATAGAAATTTTCCCCATAACATTTGAAACTTTATAAGAATTTTAAAACTTGAGAGACCGATTGGTCAACAACAATAGACCATAAATGTGAGCAGCAATATTGGCTTGATTACTACTAAATAAATGTTCAGCTACCTGATTCGAACTGTTAACTAGTCTAGAAAAACTATAAATGATTATATATGGGGATACGTGTATCTGCATACCATATTCATTATTCTGATGGGAGCATCTTAGTATAAAATAGGAAAATGCACATTTAGGTACCAGAGTGCATGACCCAAGGCCAGAAAAATAGAAGTCTGGAATGGACTATAACGTTACACATGTAATTGTAGGAAAAAGGATTAAAAAAAAAAAAAAAAAAAA